ATAAGATTATACCATCATTTGTTTATTTTGTCGGCTTCTCATCAACTGCATACATCCTAAAACAAAAATGGGAATTATGTATTTGTACACGCAGAAGCTTTTTTTGTATTTGAAAAGGTGACGCACTGCCAGTTAACAAGAAAACCTCAAAAGTGATAAACAGTGTTCATTACATATATACCTTGATACATTATAAATCATATTGCATCTAATTGATCATTTCCAACTCATCTTAAATAATTAAATCTTATTCAAATATAACTTCTAATCGGATTATTTATTCTCGTGAGTATTTAATATTCTTGAAATCTACTGATCGGAATTATCATAAAAAGGCAAAAAAAAAACATCATGCCGGGTGGCAAAGAGCCTTAGAAACTACCCCTATTCAATTTATGACGGTTCCTGCAATTATGAGTACTAATTGTCGCTCCCTGCCAGCTAAAATCAACTGTCTTCAATCACTGGTGTCTTCCATTTTATATATCGTAATACTGGGATCATATCACTTCAAGAAACATGGCTACATGTTCTGTATGATGACAATCTAGTGTATCCCCACTTCTCTTCTCTTTCTTTCGACATGACTTACCATCTACAAATCTATAAATATCTCTTGATATCCTAAATAAACAATTTGTTGACTGGCCCTTGTCTTTTGTCGTTACAAAATATCTTCTTTAGTGTGTTTCTTTATTATGTTAAATTTCCTCGTGAATAAACTCATTTTTTGGTGTAGAATACACGTCAGGTTCGGTAGTCCAACTATTGGAATGCATTCAAAGTGATTGGTATATATTCGCACTCCATGATCCCTATTCTTAATTTTCTCCGCATAATGCTGTATACTACTTATTGATTGGTGTGAGTAGTTCGATACCATCGCTTACATTAATCAGTGGTACATGTTAAGTGGACAGGTCGAAGTGATCTAAATACCCAGCGGCGAGGGCGGGGGCATTTCGCTTATATTTAGAAGCCGAGATCATCGGAGGTGTACTTGGTTTAACGCAGTTACCCATGTTAGATAAAGGTGCCAAATACGTCCGCTGCACGTTTCTCGACTTCACTTCTGCTTTCGACTCTGTACCTAGATGTCTCTTGCTAAATAAGCTCTCTATGACAAAAACTGAGTCCTGATTCACTAACTGGTTGCATTCCTACTTCTCGGACAGAATACAGTACACTATATACAAAGGTTAATCCTCCTCTGCTGCGCTCACTGAGGCTGGTGTCCCCCAAGGTGCTGTACTCTCCCCACTCCCCTGTTCTTTCTTTCTACATGACTTACCATCTTCAAATGACATTAATTTTGTCAAATATGCTGAAGACTTGACTGTATCTTTGCCTGTCAAATGTCAAAGTGAATGCTCTAAACTAAATGGCTTTCTGTCAGAAATCAGCCAATGGTCCAAGGAAAACGGTATTACCTTAAACCCCTCCAAATGTCAAACAGTCAATTTCACCTTTAGGCATAAATCCGACCTAAACAAACTGGTTGGCTCTCACGAGGTGTGCAACATTGATGGCAATGAAATGGAGACCAAGTCGGAAATTAAATACCTAGGCGTCATTCTATCTGCTGATTTCTCCTGGTCGTCTCATATCTTAGCGATTTCTAAGAAAATATATTCCGTCTTACCTTCTACATCAAGAAGTTAAGACATTCTGGTATAACCCAACTCTTACTCCTACAATTCGTTAACTCTCGAATTCTGCCTATTATACTCTATCGTTCCCCTTTAATTTTCCCGGGCTTCTGAAGAAAGACTATAACATATTACGCAGGATGTTAAAGGTTGTCAGCAGGGTAAGCAACGTGCCACTTAACCAGCTTGTTAATATTCTGGTCGACAGGCACATGGACTCATGTGAAAAATGGGCCAAATCCATTTTATCTAACTCACACCACCCTCTCCATTCACAACTCTCCCCTTGCATCTAATCAGGCAAAACCAGAAGCCTATGTAGGAAACTATATGCTCTCAACAGAAAGTAAAAAAACTCAACCATACCCTACTTAGCTCGTGTTCTGTGCGATTAAGAAAGCATTAGGCGTGACACCTATAATTCATTAAATAGTCAGTAGAACAACTGGACCTCGTCTTTCCAAATCATATCATTTATAGGTACAACATTTTCTTTCTTTCTTTTCCTTTTCTCTCTCTTTTTTACTCTTTTTTTCCGTTATCTCTCGCTTACGCCAGTAAATATGACAGCACCTACTTTTCTAACACCTTCAAACACTGTTCAACTTTGGCTCTGCTACCGACATTCCAATATGTTGTTGTCATAATGAACTGAGATTTCCTTAATCTATGTAGAATTCTATTTATTGATAATGTACTAACTGGATGCAATACTGTAGTAAACAAAATGCAGAGAATTCCATTCTGTATCACATGTACTGTTTTAGAATAAAGCAAATTATTATTATTATCAAAATAAAATCTTATCCATAATGGGTGGATCTTTTGTTGAAGATGCGACAATAACAGCTGCTGTTGCTGCTCCTGACTACCTCCTCTCCAGCAATATTTATCGGTATACGTGTATATAAACTGACAATGTCAAAACTAGCCATTTTTTTCTTCACTATCTAATTTTAAATCATCTAATCCATCTATGTTTTAGTTCATAAGAATTTGTTAGTCTAGATTTTGAGTGGCTTTTAAGAGGATTTAATATCATAGATGAATTTCTGAAATCAACTATAGGTCTAATAATGTATCCTGACTTATGAACTTTAACAACACTATACATCCCCTACTGGGGTTATATTACTATTCGGTATAAAATTAAACCATTTAGAGTCACATAGAAACGGCTACATTTGACGATATTTGTATTTCCGATCATCCCACCTTAAGTCACTAAAAAGAAAGATTGGTAGTTCCAAGGAAAATCCAAGACAGGAAGTGAGGCACATAAGAGACGCCTTGAAACTGAATAAATACCCTGATAAATTAATCAGAAATTATGTAGGAAAATGTTAAAAAAAAAATATATATATATATATAAATAATACTAGTGATTATAATCGTAATAATAATGACGACAAGCAAGTCAAACATGCCCACGACAGTGGTAACACCAACAATAGGGAATCTAAATCATCATTAGTAGTACTTCCACAAAAAGGAGAAACCTCAGAAACCTTACGGAGAATTCTTAACAAGGCAGGCAGGAATAAAAGTGGCTGGCATTCAATCACCCACCAAATCAATTAGAAACACGCTTTGCGGGTTAAAGGATCCTGTGAGGCGGCCCATTAAACAAAACAATTTAGTTTATCTAATATCCTGCTGGAATGATTATCAGGTCAGATGCATAATAGGTGGAAGTAGTAGAACGGGGTCAGTCAGTTAAAGCAGAAGGCATGAAAACATTAGCTGTCTTCGATCATAGGTGTCTGCGTTCTATCTCCAGTGTGTGTGAAGTGGTATAATAAGGTGAGCAATATTGAGGTTAGGCCATCGGTCGAGTGCTAGGTAAGGAGGGGAAATTGATACATACACAGGTGACTTATCAATATTGATTATTTATTTCCCACACGTGCATGGTTATTGATTTTTTTCAACTGCATTTAATTACTGAATTCCCATGGTTTGTTAATATTTTTTAAAATGTGACATTGATTTTCCTAACTGTATAAATACGGAGTTTTTGTTGTAGACAGTAAAAGCTCTCGTATCAACGTCCAGTCTTCTTTCTTTGTCTTGCGTGCCCGGCGGTATTGTTGTTGTTGTTGACGTGCGATTAGGACAGATTAGCCAGAGTATTAAGTTAGATTCGCTCGTAGTCTACAAGGTTCTCATATTCATACATAACAGAAATCAATCGACGAGACTGTGAAATTACATCGACTGAGATGGTTAGGACATGTGTTACGCATACCTGCCTAGTCATCGCCTTCCTTGACAATGGGCATTTTTAGCTGATATAGGCTGGAAAAGAGCTAGCCAGCGGCGGTCAAACGAAAACATGCCTTCACCAGTCAATGAAATCTACAACAGTTAGTCTAGGCCAGCCACGTAGGAAGGTGTAGACTGGCTTCCTGACTGGTTGGGGTCCTCGGGACAGTAAAAACCAATGAAGGCTGGAAACAATTGGTGACATGGCTAGCTCAAAGTGATCGTTCTCAATGGCTGGCTGGTGCAGATGCATCCACTCCTTGTGACTGACTTATGATTTCCAATGAAACTGTTTTGTACTTCGTTATTACTATACCTTTGTCTCACACCTCTGTTTACTGTCTCTCTCTAATATGCATTTCTCCTACTTTCTTCTGTTGCTTTGTGTGTATGGCAACTTGAACTCCCACACATATGTGCAAAGTTCTATGTCGAAAACCGACCGACCGAGTCAGACTACCGGAGCACAAAATCCTAGCAAAATCTAGATTACTTGACCCTAATAAGATAAGAAATCTGGAGATTAGTTCAGCTATAGCATACCACTCACTACACATGCAATTACACACAACCAAACAGTAGGATGGGATAAGATGACAGAGCTTGATACTGGGAGCTTTGTTTATCGAATCAACTGCAAATACGTGTATAGTTGGAATGATTCAACGCCTATCCATCCGGACATCTAGAAACTTCTACTACCCTTACGACGATGAATAGGAAAGGATAAAGAAAACTATAAAACTCAAGTTTCGAAGTTGTGTGATTATAATTGATGAAATGATTATGAACAGTGATAAATTGTTTCCGAAACTCTATCATCGAGTAAATAATACTACTATTTCTTGACTGTGTGTGTGTGTGATATGTCTAATAAACACATTAATATGGAAGCATAATCTCTCTCCATGCCGTAACGCACTCCAAATCCTTCCTTGTCCAGGTCTCATACACGCAGTGTATTTTTGTTTTTTTCTATCTGTGTACAACCAAATGATTTTATTGCGCCATATTTGAAAAAATGACTTAAAAATCCCGCCAATACCAAAAAAGACAATTAAAACAACAAAATCAAAAGTAAGATTTAAAAAGGACTTATTTATATCAGAAGAAAGTATATTAATACAATGTTGTTATTATTATTTAAAAAAATATTATATGTGATAATAAACTATAAAATTACAAAGAATTTGCCCTTTTTCCTCTCTTTTTTATTCTTATTATTGATTTCTGTGTATGTGTGTTCCTTCTCTGACTCTGAAGTATTAACAGACAAGTCATTGAGAACTGTTCCTTCATTCTTTGAATTTGAAATATGTTTTGTTTTTTTAAGGAAAACCCCGCCATGTAGTATAAAATATGATCAATGTACAATACTTTATTTGTCTATGTGAATGGTGGTGGGGCATTGGCATTTGTCTTATTCCGATTCATTGTCGCATTCTTTGTATTCCTAGATGGAGGGGTTATTGCTAGATAGCCTCATAGTTAATCTTCTCCCATTTTTCCAGGCTTTCTCTATCCGACTAGTAAACTAGATGCGAGGTGTTTAGGCGAGTGTATCTGTTGTCATTTGAACATCCCACACATGCGTAGCTGCCGCCAACCATTCCTACTATTGGAACCATGGGCACGTCGTCGTACGTCTAATGATTTTGTGTGTTTATGTGTGATTTTTATAATAAATTTTATGTAGCAAACAAAGTAAAGTAGCCTACAAAAGTGAAAGAATCTGTTTACAGGAGGAGAGGAAGTAAAGCCTAATTCACTGGAACCCTAGAAAATCAGCAGCAGGAGGAGGGGCAGGAGGAGTTCGGCGCTGTTTCATAATTGAAAGAAAATATATATATACTTAGAAGACAATATTACAATTGTGGGAATGAAGAAATATTTAGCCTTCATTAACAAGGGGGAGGAAAATTAGTGAAACAATGAGATCGGGGAGGGAGGGCGAGGGGGTTTAAATACTTATGAGACCTAAAACCAAGCCTCTGCTGTGGTGGGCGGTGCAGTTGTTAGTTACATAATATACAGCCATACTTACATTATTATTATTATTACCATCACCACTATTGTATATGATATTATGACTGATGACACACTACTGTTATTATTACTACTACTACTACTACCCAGTAGTTACCCGATCCCTTTAGACTGAAGTGCGCCAAGGGTTGGGGTCCACAAAGCGGACCCATGGAGCTCCGGTGGTTTACCATTGCCCCCAGAGGATGGATATCTGTCTCCATATATAGTCACAGTTATATTTTGATGCGGCTATGTCTGACTTTTATCATCACAAGTTGTCAACATTTGTCCAACAGATCGTGCACGTGTATGCGAATGATGATTGATTGATTTCTCCATAGCTGCCGCTGATGTCGTAGCCGGTTTCAATCTTGGCGGTGGACGTACATGAAATGCATAAATTGATGATGATGATCCGGTAATATTTAAATTTTGTAAATCTGTTAAATTATCCTGATTCTGATTATTGTTTTTTAATTTTAATTGTTGTCTTTTTAATAAAATCAATTTATTTGTATCTACAGTGAACCAATGATCGCTAATATTATTGTTGCTGTAACTGTCATTATCCATATCCTCGTCAGTGCCTGGATTATTTAACGGTACACCCATTATCCAGACAGGACGTTCAGCATTCCATAATGCCGGGGGAATAGCTGGTAATGAAAATATCGATGCATTTGTAATGATGGTTTGTCGACGATGTTTTTCATAATTATTATTACTATTATTGGTATTGGTATTATTATTATTACTATTGGCGGTATAACTGTCCAATAGAATATCATTGAAATTTGAATCTTGTGTCAATGAGAATTCAGAGAATTCTTGAACTGTTTCTTTACTGATACTTTTTATTGTTGTTCTTTTCTTCATTCTTGTCTGTAAACAAAAAGAGACAGAGAGAGGGGCAAAAATTATGCAAGTGAAAAAAGTGTTTATATTTTTTAAAGTGTTTATATTTGTAAGGGATTTATTTAATATTGATTCAGCTGCCAAGATTTAATCTGATGCTCGCTAGTGATGACTTGCTACAGGATGGAGTTTCCTGCAGTGAGTTCTAGTGAGAAGTCGTGACCAGTGACGTCCAGTTAGATGTCACTTGTGTGGATGGATGTCCCATCAACGACAATGGTTGGGGTCACGCTAAATCACGAATTGGTAGAAGTTAGAATTCATGCACTGGCTGGCCATTGAATCGGGTCCCAGTTGCTGAATGGTATACAAGCTTGCCTTGTAACCGGAAAGTCATGGGTTCGAATCCTAGTGGTGGGTGTGTACTGCCGATGATTCCCAAACTAGGATGAAACAGCAGCTGTCCAGTACTCCCTGCTGGTTTTCAATGGTTCTCTAAATGATATCAGTCCATGATCAACTCGTAAAAACATAACAAACCCTTACAAACCAAACTATAGAAAATTTAATGACAAGCTGACATGGAGTCACAGCTCTTGGATCGAGAATCTCACAAGGTTTTGATTGATTTTACAAGTTTGTCTTGTCACCAAAAGGGTTCTGGGTATAAATCCTAGTGGGTGTAGCACTGATGAGAAGTCCTACATTGCGATGGAACAGCTAGCTGTTTCAACACGAATACAGAGGCCTAGTTTCGCATATGTCAGTTTACGCCATGATATCCGACTATCGACCAAAGGGCGTGTGTACTGCTCAACAGTCCGCTCCATCCTCCTTTATGGCTGGCTGTGAGACCTGGCCATTGAGAGTGGAAGACATGAAAAGATTATCTGTCTTTGATCATAGGTGTCTGCGTTCTATCTCCCGCATGAAGTGGTATAATAAGGTGAGCAATATTGAGGTTAGGCCATCGGTCGAGTGCTAGTTGGTAAGGAGGAATTGGAAATCAATCGACGAGACTGTGAAATTACATCGACTGAGGTCAGGCTGCAAAAGGGCTAGTGGCGGTCAAACCAAAACATGGCTTCATCAGTCAATGAAATCTACAACAGTTAGTCTAAGCCAGCCACGTATGAATGTGTAGACTTCCTGACTGGTTGGGGTCCTCGGGACGGTAAAAACCAATGAAGGCTGGGAACAATTGGTGACATGGCTAGCTCAAAGTGATCGTTCTCAATGGCTGGCTGGCGCAGATGCATCCACTCCTTGTGACTGACTTATGATTTCCAATGAAACTGTTTTGTTCTTCGTTATTACTATACCTTTGTCTCACACCTCTGTTTACTGTCGCTCTCTCCAGTCTGAAGTATCCTGGGCTTATTCTCTCTTCTGATCTCTCCTGGTCCTCTCATATCTTAGCGATTTCTAAAAGAATATTTCGTTTGACTTTTTACATTAAGAAGTTAAGGCACTCAGGCATAACTTAACAACTCCTCTTACAGTTTATCAACTCGTGCATCTTACCTATTCTTCTTTACTGTTCACCCTTATTCTTTCCTGGATTGCTTAAAAAGGACTATGTCATACTTCGTAGAACTCTAAAGACTGTCAGTAGAACGAGTGGTATCTCATTGGGCCATATCGTTGACATTGTCACTGACAGGCACTTGATGTCATGCAACAAATTCGCTAATGGAATTTTGTCAGACTCTGAGCACCCACTACTCTACCCGCAGCTCCAACCTTGTGTCTCCTCAGGTAAAACAAGAAGTCTTTTCAGAAGAATTTATGCACGTACGTCTAAGTATAAAAATTCCACTATACCATATTTGACGGCACGTACTTTATGTGATGAAAATAGTGTCAGACATGAAACTAACTAACCTTCTTAGCACCACTAAATAAACCATTTCCTTCACCGTTAAAGCATCAAACTTTATTGTTATTGTATTTGTTATATTTATAATCCTCTCAATTTTTTGTTTGCATTTGCTTATTTTTTTATAAGTGTGAACATAATTTAAGCTGTATTATAACTGTTAATTATGTATTTCCCCTCACTATACTATATCAACAGAACATTAGATCCAATAATCTATAACATGTGCGTCGGTGGCACAGTGGTTAGGACTCTCGCCGACCATGCACATGGTCCGGGGTTCGATCCCCTGCCGGCGCACACCCGATATCTATGGTCGGCCTGAATTTGGGCTACCGATATCCATGCTGAAAATTCCACACTTGTACTGAAAATACGGTGTGGAATCAAGCTGTAAATCAAAATAAAAATAAAGTTTCCAAATTGAATCGACAATACCGTTTGAAACAAACTCACTGTTATTATCATTATTATTATTATTATATTTAATAATCTCAATTCGTGCTTCGAATATTTTTGACTTTATGTCGTAAATGTAGACAAATTCCTCCGTTTAATTTTGTTTTAATTTTTAATTTTATTTATATTTTGAGTAAATCAGATGCAATATTGTGACAAATACTAAGAATTCCATTCTGTAATATAAGTACTGTTTTTGGAATAAAGTAGATTATTATTATTATTATTAATATACGCTTCGTGCAAACGAGTGCCAACAAAGCACAAGACCTAAGTTAGACAAATCTGCCTGCCAATAGCCTTGTATATTTTCAAAATATAAAAAAGCAACTGAGTTAGAAAAAAATCAAAAATCAAAAAGAAAAGAAAAACGCTTTTTTACCTTTTGATGATGATGATGTGATCGTTTACTTTTCATAGTTTTTCTTTTCGTCCAACGTTGTTTCATTTTATCAATTAACGATCGTACAGGATTGAATATTGAATAACCGGTAGTTTTAACACCCTCACGATGTTGTCGTTGATGATGAGAAGCAGAAGGCGTAGTAGGTATACTTGAAGGTGTTCTCTTTTCCTCATCGCCATCGCCATCACCACTGTCACTATCCTCATTGTGGAAACTTTTCTTGTCGACACTATTCGATTGAATCATTCTGTCATTTTCAATATAAACTGGAAATACATTCCATTTCGTGGAATAGATGCCTTGAAGATATTTCAGACTGTTGACACCATTACTGTTATCATTATTATTTATGCTGATTATTTCATTATCACCGTCAATATTATTATTATTACTATTATTATTATTTGAGTTGTCTTCATCACCGGTGAATAACGTTGTGCAAGAGAGAACCGGCTGTGGTTTATGCGGCGACTGACTATCATCACAATTCTTCATGATAACAAAATATTTGCCTTTCAGAGGATCTTTTTCTTCTGAATTCATTGAAGTAGCAGGAGCAAGAGCAGCAGCAGCATCAGCAGCAGTAGTAGTAGTAGTAGGAGTAGTCGTTGTTGTTGTTGTTGGTGCCGAGGTGTTAGTGTTCAACTCTGCGCCTTTCTCGTCGTCTATATTATTATTATTATTACTACTACTATTGTCATTGTTTTGAGTAATAAAAATAGTGTTAGCAGTGTTTAGATTAAATAAACTCGCCTGACCAATTGGTGGTGTTGTCCCGAATAGATATGAGATAGAATTATCCATAGTTGATATTTCTGAATCGGTACTAGGCTTATGCGGATGATAACTTCGACCAGGGACAATTCCATTGGTATAAAGTAAATGATACCTGTTGTTATTTTTTACATTGTTATTGCTGTTATCACTGTGGTTATGGTAGCCAACTCCACCCACAGCGCCACCGTGACCGCCACAGCCACCGCCACCTCCACTGCTACTACTTCTTCGATCAGTAATCATACAACCAATACTTGAAATAGACGGTTTATTATCGATTAATTGTTGTGTATTCTCTGATCTTGATAATAATATATGACTATCTAATGAATAATCTGTAGGTATTAGAATTGATCGACTTATTTTACCGCGTTTAATTCTATCAGATCTAAGTGTTGAAGATTTTTTTTAAAAAAAAAAAAGGAAAAGAAGAAAGAAACAATAAGACTTTAAAAAAAACAAGTTATTTAGAACTTACAAGCAAAATATTAAGCCGCATCATCCTGGAGAGAATCAAACACGCCAACCTGGATGAAAACATCGACGGGAACAGGCTGGATTCAGGAGAAACAAGTCATGTATTGATCAAGTCGCCACATTACCGATCATCATTGAACAAAGCATGGAATGGCAGTCACCTCTCTATCTCAACTTCATCGACTTTGAAAAGGCCTTCAGCAGATGGTGTCGATCGAGAGGTGCTTTGGAAACTACTTCGCTACTACGAGGTGCCACCGACAACTATACATCTCATCCAACAGCTGTACGACAATGCTGCATGACAAGTAATGCACAATGGGAAACTTACGGAATCCTTCGAAGTGAGGACAGGAGTAGGACAAGCTGGCTGCCTACCACACTATCCAATGATTTTCCTGATTGCAGCAGATTGGATAATGCGACAAACAGCGGGCGCCGAGAAAACAGGCATAAAATAGACTCACACAAAAAACTTGGAGGATCTGGACTTCGGCGATGATATATTTCTGATTTCCCACAAACTGGAAGATATGCAAGCGAAAAGCAACAAGTTGACAGAAGAAGCATCCAGAGAAGGTAGGACTTCAGATGAACATAGAGAAAACAGAGGTGATGAAGATTCCTGGCCAACACCACCAACAGCAACAACAACAACAACAGACAAAAATCATCATAAATGGAAGGAACCTGAAAGAAACAACCTACTTTACCTACCTGGGAGGCATCGTTTCAACTACAGGCGAACAGAACTGACGAGGATATCAAAGCAGTGAGGATCGGGAAAGCAAGACAAGCTTTCACTACTCTCAAGTCTGTGTGGAGGTCAACAGTCAGCACTCACCATCAAAATGAAGATAAGCTCCCGATTTTCAACTCCAATGTGAAGTCAGTCAGTGCCACTTATTATACGGATGGATCAGAGACTTGCACTGCGCGTCATAAAGAGCATCTCAAACAAACTACAGACCTTCATTAACAGCTAGCTGTCTTCGCTCAATACTACTCAAGATCAGATGGCCGGCCGGCCAGAAAAGATCACCAACAGAGAGGGAGGGATCTCTGGCAATAAGCGAACCAACCGACACAGCAGGAACCAACCGATTGTGAAACAAATAGGCAGGAAGAAATGGAGGTAGGTGGATTGGCTGGCCATACTCTGAGGAATCAAGTGACATGACTAGACAAGCCATTGCTCGAGTGGAACCCGGCAGAAAGGGAAGCGGCGAGTGACTTGTAGGAGGTCATGTGAAGGGGAGATGAAAACGTGTGTGTGGGCAGACTTGGAGCCGCCAGGTGAAGACTGTAGCAGAGAACCGAACTCAATGGAGACGCACGGCTGAAGCCCTATGTTCCTCTAGGAATTAAAGGGAACAATTATAATATAGTAATAATAATAATACCCAAAGTATTGATCGGAATAAAAAAATACCATTATTATTTTTAATTCAGACCAATATTATCAATCAATCAATCAAAGAGAAATAAATAAAACTCAGTTCTAGTTTTGTGAAAAGGAAGGCGGCAATTAAGCTTCTTACCTTGTTCGACGAACACTCATATACTGAGGTTGGTGAGGATAAGGATGACGATGCCGGTGACGATATGATGTTGCAGGGAAATTCAAATTGATTTCATTAATCTCTTGAATAGATACTCTTGGCAGAAGGTAGTACGGTATACTTTTAACTGATGTACATAACTTTTTCGGATCACTTGATACAGTATTAACACAAGCAGTATTAGTAGTCGGGGTCGTTGTGACAGCAGGAGTTGTAGTTATAGTTGTAGTAGTAGTAGTAGTTGCATGTACATAGTCTTTATTATTATTGTTATTATTATTACCATCTGTATCATTAGTACTATGAAAGTAAAATGTTTTCCCGCTGAAAATATTCGGTAATTGATCAACAATCAATATATTTGGATGTGAACCAGTTGATCGATACCGTCGATAAGAATGAGAGCATGTTTCCGTGTCGTCAGTAACTGATTTATGCCTTCCACCACCATTATTTTCAACACTAATAAAATCTAAATTCGAGCTTGTTTTGTGTACAACTCCGACAACTTCAAATTTTTCTAATTCTAATGAACCAAGTGATGATACAAAGGCTTTATGCATTAGATTACCATTGGTAGTGAACACTTCAGGCATTGATAAAGAACTTGGAGCAGATAGCTATATAGAGGTGTTGTAAATCGGGGGGGGGGGGGGGAAGACATAAAACATAAAAGTGATATATATGTTATAAATAAATATTAAGATGATAATTGTAAAATAAAACTAAAGCTGTTAATTCCTCATCATGGACTCTATACTGATATAGAGTTCAACATAGAAAAAATCCCCATTTAGACATTTAGAAAACAGTAAGATTGAGCGAAGAAATATCTACTTTTCAATTAGATTCTCATCTCTGGTTCTACTCTAATATATATAGCATTTTTATGACAATACACAACAGTTTACCAAACAAGTGGCAATATGTTTCCCGTACACACTCCTTCTTAGTGTGCCATCTTCTTTCCTTGCCATGAAGACGTCTGGTAATGATATACTATGATTACTTTCTTTCTCTATGGTAAAGTTTATTGCTGAATGTGCATCATTAAACGTGTCAAGGATGTTCATTGCATCATTCTCGTCTTTCATAACCACAAATGTATCATCCATATATCGACAGTAGAAATCCATGTCATTAATTACTCCTTTCAGTGGTCCATTCTCTAATTTAGCGAGGAAAAAATCAGCTAGGATTGGACCTAATGGGGAACCCATAGCTACACCATCAATTTGCCTGTAATATTCCTTATTAAATAAGAAATGAACATTCATTGTACATCTTGAAATAAGTTCCTTCAAGGTGGATACAGAAATCCCGATGTCTATGTTTCGTGTAGTAATCTCCTCACATATAAAATCCACTGTCTCCATTAACGGTACATTGCTGAACAAGGAGGATACGTCAAAAGATATCATAAACTTCTCCCTCACATTAAGATCTCTTATTTTTTCAACAAATTCAAAACTGCCGTTTACGCTATGTTTGACCAATTCATTGGGCATACAATTAGGCAGCTTCATCATCGTAGTTCTGAACATCATCCAGCATGGTTAAGCAAAGGACAAACAAGATCTATTCGTAGTTCTATTTTAGCACACCTTGTTGATACTGAGCATAAGGTTGATGTTAATACTGCATTTAAAATTATTTATCGCACTCCCACTAATCTTAATTTTGCTCTACGAGTTCGTCTTCTACAGACAGCCGAAGCAATCGGAATCCACCTGAAGAAGCCAAGCCTATGTGTTCAGAAAAAATTTGTACAGACACTTTCCTTACCGTGGCCATCTCTAGAAGAATGCATAAATAGGACTACGTCGCCCCCCTCCCCCTAAACCTTTAGAAACTATAAAAAACTATGATTGTCCAAATTATTTTATTTTTATTTATTTTGACCACTTCATCTTTAATTACGTGTTATCCTCGTAAAATTAATTTATTCTATCCATTTCTACCTTTTAAATGTGTATTGATTTTCTTCGCGAATTATCAACCCATTGACATTTTGACACTGACTAATTAATTATTGTTAACAAACATATCGCCACTTGTTTGGTAAACTGTTGTGTATTTTAATAAAAATGCTATGTATATATATTAGAGTAGAGCCAGAGAAGAAGATCTAATTGAGAAGTAAATATTTCTTCGCTCAATCTTTCTGTTTGATACATAGTTGTCAAGTACTGGTTTCATATTGGTTTTTGAAGAGTCCCAAATTAGGATGAAACAGCTGTCCAGTACTCCCAGATTCTCTAAAATAGTCAGTAGTACAACTGGACCTCGTCTTTCCAACTCATATCATTTATAGGTACAACATTTTCTTTCTTTCTTTTCCTTTTTTCTCTCTCTTTTTTTCGTTATGTGCTGATTTGTTTCTTTCTCTCGCTTACGCCAGTAAATATGACAGCTCCTACTTTTCTAATACCTTCAAACACTGTTCAACTTTACCTTTGCTACCGACATTCCAATGTGTTGTTGTAATAATGAACTGTGATTTCCTTAATCTATGTAGAATTCTATTTATTGATAATGTACAAACTGGATGCAATACTGTAGTAAACAAAATGTTGAGAATTCCATTCTGTATCACAAGTACTGTTTTGGAATAAAGCAAATTATTATTATTATTATTATTATTATTATTATTATTATTATTATCAAATGATGTCAGATCATGATGAAATCCTTCAACCAATCACAACAAAATCTCTACAAAACCAATACTTGAAAATTGATCTGATGCTCACTAGCGACCGGCCCTATTCAGGAAGGTAGTTACCTAGGGTTCTAGTGGGAAGCCGTGATCAATAGGATACAGCAGGCCGGGCGTGAGGACAACTAGTCGCCGAAGATACTGACTAGTGATCGCGCTATGTTGTGAATTGGTAGAAGTCAGGATTTATGGGCTGGTCATTGGATCGGGTCCCAGTGGCTTAATGATCTACGGGCCCGTCGGCCTTGTAACCAGAAGGTCCCGGGTTAGAATCATGTGGGCGGGTGTGTACTGATGAGGAGTCCCAAATCAGGACAAAGCAGATGTCCAGTCCTCTCAGGTTTTTCAATGGTTCTCTAACTGATATCAGCTCATGATGAAATCCTCCAATCAATCAAAACGAAATCCCTACAAAAGTTCACTTTTAACAGTTTGAAAAAATTTAGGCATTGGGTGTATATGATATTCATTATTAAAGTTTTTGTATTTCCCAATGAATGAAAAAAAAAGGTCGAAAATGTATTCAAAAAACATGAACCTCAACATTTGTTATTCCATATAGATCAAAAATGTCAGACGATATCAGAGGAATGATCAATAAATATCATATGAGAGTTCTGTCTAAAACATCAGACACACTACAGGGCGACATTGTCCATGTAAAAGATTAAATTCCGAAGGATTCACAATCTAATTGTGTCTGTTAAAATAAAATGCTTGGAATGTCATCCGATAAACATCAGAAAAACCTCTCAAGGAATCAAGGTCAGAAGAGATGAACACCGTAAAACATTTGTTCGATCACTGAGAAATCCAGCTAAACTAGAAAAGCTTTAAAAATAATCATCCATAGAATCAGGTCACAAAATTGACTCCGACAATATTGAAATCATCATCCAGAAAAATTTCCGAAATCATTAAGAACGTCTAATATCAGAAGCCCTTCATATCAAGTAGAATCCAAATTGTCTGAATAGGAATAATGGACTACAACGCCATTTAACATGATTCCAACAGCCCTCCCGACCCCATTGAAGTGACACAATCAACACAAGAATGATAGGCAATTATGTTACGTAAACACATTCTGTTTTCATAATTCCATACGCTTATCAAGTCCAGCAATTTACAGGTGGTTGGGTTATCTTTACCAAGTGGCCAGCTTGACAACATAGAAATGCTAAAGAACGATGATTAAGTTGTTATATATAAGATGAGATTTTATAAATTCTAATTTAATAATGATTGGAATGGCAGTCACCTCTCTATCTCAACTTCATCAACTTTGAAAAGGCCTTCAGCAGACAGCGTCGATCGAGAGGTGCTTTGGCGACTACTTCGCTACTACCAAGGGGTGCCACCGACAATTATACATCTCATCCAACAGTTGTACGACAGTGCTGCATGCCAGTTATTTCGACAACGGGAAACTCACGGAATCCTTCGAAGTGAAGACAGGGGTAAGGCAAGGCTGCCTACTACACTCTCCAATGATTCTCCTGAATGCAGTAGATTAGATAATGCAACAAACAGCGGCGGGCAATGAGAAAACAGGCATAAAATGGACTCACACAAGAAACCTGGAGAATCTGGACTTCGACGATGATATGTGTCTGATTTCCAACAAACTGGAAGATATGTAGGCGAAAAGCAACAAGTTGGCAGAACAAGCATCCAGAGAAGAAAGGACTTCAGGTGAACATAGAGAAAACAGAGGTGATGAAGATTACTGGCCAACACCAACAACAGCAACAACAACAGACAACAATCAGCCAGCATAAATGGAAGGAACCTGAAAGAAACAAACTCCTTCACCCACATACCTGGGAAGCATCGTTTCAACTACAGGCGAACGGAACTGACGAGGATATCAAAGCAAGAATCGATCGGAAAAGCAAGACAAGCTTTCACTACTCTCAAGTCTGTGTGGAGGTCAACAGTCAGCACTCACCATCAAAACGAAGATAAGATCCGGATTTTCAACTCCAATGTGAAGTCAGTCAGTGCTACTTACTATACGGATGGATCAGAGACTTGCACTGCGCGTCATAAAGAGCATCTCAAACAAACTACAGACCTTCATCAACAGCCAGTTGTCTTCGCTCAATACTACTCAAGATCAGATGGCCGGCCGGCCAGAAAACATCAGCAACAGAGAGGGATCTCTGGCAATGAGCGAACCAACCGACACAGCAGGAACCAACCGATTGTGAAACAAATAGGCAGGAAGAAATGGAGGTAGGTGGATTGGCTGGCCATACTCTGAGGAAACAAGCCATCAAGTGAGTGACATCACTAGACAAGCCATTGCTCGAGTGGAACCCGGCCGAAAGGGAAGCGGCGGCGAGTTGGTCGTCAGTGCGAGGGTGGGGTGACTTGGAGGAGGTCATGTGAAGAGGAGATGAAAGCGTGTGGGCAGACTTGGAGCCAGGTGAAGACTGTAGCAGAGAACCGAACGCAATGGAGACGCACGGCTGAAGCCCTATGTTCCTCTAGGAATTAAAGGAAACAGTATGTATATATAATGCTTTCATAAATTTATTGACAGCAGAATGAAATAGCAAAACGTCTGCAAAAAAACAGCAATATCGTTTTTGTTTTTCAATCATTGGCAAATAGAAAAACTTTTATAATAAGGAATACCTCTATCAGGCAGTACTTCTATGTAGTTTAGAGACTTGGAGTGCCACCTAAAGCATTTCCGACAGTTGGCTACAGAATTTCATCAACAGCTCTTTTCGCCGCATACCGAATATAAGACGGTCAGAAAGAATAGATATGCAATAAGGGAAATTAGCGACGAGCCAATCAAGAAGCAAAATGCTTTCGCTAACTTACACCATCTCTGGAGTAGGCGTGACATCCGACTATCAATCAAGGGACGTGTGTACTGCTTACCAGTTCGCTCCGTCCTTCTCTATAGTGGCTCTGAAACATGGCCAATACGAGTTGAAGACATGAAAAGGTTGACTGTTATTGATCATAGATATCTACGATCTCTTTCTCACGTTAGAAGGTGGTATAATAAGGTGGTAAGTAATGTTGACGTTAGGTTAGGCGTAGAGTGTTGGGTAAAGAGGGAAAATCAATCGACGAGGCTATAAAGTTACATAGATTGAGATGGCTAGGTGACGTGCTGCGCATGTATGCCTAACCATCGCCACCCCCTCCCGACGACCATTACTAGCTGATATAGGTGCAGGTTGGAAGTAAGAAAGAGTAAGTGGTGGCCAAACAAAAACATGGCCTCATCAATCCATGAAATCCTTGACAGTTAAACTGAGTCAGTCAGGTAGAGAGGGAGGGAGATGCAGACTTCCGGGTTGGGGCCCGGCCCGCCCTCGGGACTCTAAGAATCAATCAATGAAGGCTGGAGACAATAGGTGACATGGCTCAAACTCATCGTTGTCAATGGCTGGCTTACGCAGATGTATTCAGTCTCTGTAATCTTTCATATTCCTTTCTACCACCATTACTCATTCATTCTGTTTCACTCTTATACTTGTCGAAACTCTATTGATTCTCTTCACTCATCTTCTTGTCTACCTTTGTGTGGTATTTGGAACGTGGCAACTGGAACTGCTGCACTTCGGTGCGAAGTTCTATGTTGAATCCAGACAGAGACAGACATATTGCCTAACAAATATGCAGAAAGAAATGTACATAAACAGATGCACTGGACTTATGCTGAGGAGAATTCAAGCAGCTCATGGATTGGAATCCGAATGAGGAACGACAAGTTGGGCGGCCAAGAGTTATATGATGAAGAGATCAGATGAAGAGAAACTGAAAGCTTGTGAGTACTCGTAGAATCGGCAGTTAATAAGCAAAATGGCAGGAGATACGATGCTCGGGACGAATTATATAAGGTTTGGATATATAAAAAACAAATCTAGTAATGCAGACAGGAATTAAAACCGTAAAAATAACAGAAATAAACAGGAAGGTTGGATAAGAAAGGTAATAGGATAATCATTATTGGTGGGACTGACTTATTTTGGTGACCACGACAAGGGCAACGGTTGGACGTATTTCTTTTGGACACAGCTTTAGCTTTTGGATTACCAATGCCTCCGCTATTCCTATATGCCTTGACTTCAATCCTTTGAATAGGCTTGATCGGATGTTGTATATGACTTTGAAGGACTTGTCAAATGGAGCTGAATGTTGTGAATTCACCAAATGTTCTGTTACCAAACTACATACATACCTGCTTTCTCACCTTGTTAGTCAGGCTGGAGAACTTTCCAGAGCACGGTTTACAAGTGGATGCATGGTACGACCAATGTGCTCAGCTCCATACGAGCAACTGAACAGGTATATGAGTGTTGAAGTAGCTTCATACAAGAACTTGTCTTTTACGTACTAGCTGAATAGTTTCTTGCAGAAAAAAATTACTCGTAGGCTGACGGCGAAGTATATTTTACAGGAGGAATTCAAAAACCGTCCTACGGTGAAGTTCTGCTTCAGTATCACTTTTAATTTAGACGTTAAGTATCAGCATCTTTTTGAAGGCAACTTAGACCTTTTCAAGCATTTTGCCTATGAATCTCGGTGGGAAACCATTTTCAAACCAAGGTCTCTTGGAGATTTCACAATTCTGCGTCAATTGACTTACCAGTGCATATTTTCCGGATACTCGTGGAAAGAGAGTATATCAGGTTTCTCTTTCTGCTAAGAGGTATACAACTTTGAAAGTTGATAAACTTTCCTTTCCATGTGGGTTTTTTGTAAATGTATATTACCTGCATTGGTGGTTTAGTAGTAGAATGCTCGTTAACCATGCCTCACGTGGTCTGGGGTTCAATCCTCGACCAACACACTCCTAAACCTCATTCAACCATTAGTAAGTTCGATTAAGACAGAAGTTTAGGTATCAGGCTAGAAACCTCACTCTATAAACAAAGTCTGTCTGCCTGTCTGGATTCAACGTAGAACTTGGCACCGATGTGCAGCAGTTCAAGTTCCCACGTTCCGAATAGCACAAAAAGGTAGACAAGAAAATGAGTGAAGAGAATCAATAGAGTTTCGACAAGTATAAGAGTGAAACAGAATGAATGAGTAATGGTAGAAAGGAATATGAAAGATTACAGAGACTGAATACATCTGTGTAAGCCAGCCATTGACAACGATGAGTTTGAGCCATTTCACCTATTGTCTGTCTCCAGCCTTCATTGATTGATTCTTAGAGTCCCAAGGGCGGGCGGGCCCCAACCCGGAAGTCTGCATCTCCCTCCCTCTCTACCTGACTGACTCAGTTTAACTGTCAAGGATTTCATGGATTGATGAGGCCATGTTTTTGTTTGGCCACCACTTACTCTTTCTTACTTCCAACCTGCACCTATATCAGCTAGTAATGCCCGTCCGTCGGGGGGGGAGGCGATGGTTAGGCATGCGCAGCACGTCACCTAGCCATCTCAATCTATGTAACTTTATAGCCTCGTCGATTGATTTTCCCTCTACGACTAACGTCAACATTACTTACCACCTTATTATACCACCTCCTAACGTGAGAAAGAGATCGTAGACATCTATGATCAAAAACAGTCAACCTTTTCATGTCTTCAACTCGTATTGGCCATGTTTCAGAGCCATAGAGAAGGACGGAGCGAACTGGTGAGCAGTACACACGTCCCTTGGTTGATAGCCGGAGGTCACGCCTACGCCAGAGATGGTGTAAGAGTTAGCGAAAGCAGCTCGAGCTTTTTGGATCCGTGCTGAGATTTCGTCACCAATCAATCCGTTGGTGCTGATACAACTTCCCAAATAGGTGAAGTGGTCAACATGTTCTATCACTTCACTCCTTATCACTAAGCTAGGAGTTGACGTAGTCCAGTCCTGTAGCAGCATCTTACATTATTTTACAGGGGCGAATCGCATGCCAAACATACGAAGATTGCTGCTGAAGGTGTTCAGAAGCTATTAACAAACAAAGAATGACACCAGTGCTACTGAAACACACCACACCTCTCATAGTTCTTTATATTCTATATTCTACTCGGAATGTAAAGCAATAGAATTTTTAAAAAATAACAGTAAATAAATAATAATAACATTATTATTAGACTACCTTATAATTTGTAGCAAAACTTTCATTTTCAGAATACAATTCCCCATCAGAATAATGAACTCCATTCTTATAGATTGACAGTTTTTTTCGTCGTTTCTTGTTATTTCGTCTTATTAGACAATATTGTTGACAATATAAATAGATAATAATGACTGTGACAATTACCACACCGATTGTACATATGATAGCGCTAATTTTCACACTGACTTGTGATAATTCTGGTATATATTCTGGTATAAATATCCATAATAATAGAATAGACGTTCCACTGATTAGGCAAAGTATACCAATGATAGTAAAAATAAGAAATACCTTATTCATATAAATTTTGTTATGATGATATAAAGGTATGATTTCAGATCGACTGAATGAACACATATATGTATGCTGTATATATTATAATATTATGAGTATATATTTTAATTTCATTAGATAGCAGTTATATAAAATCATATTGATTTGAAAGGATAATGTGTGTGTTGTGTGCCCGTACCACTGGTGATAGGATAGGTTATGAAGTAATTTATAATTACGTGTTTATGTAAGCTGTATTTTTCATGTTACATGTTCAGCATGTTGACGAATCATTTCTATGTTGATGCTGCTGATGCTGTTGCTGCTGGCTACCGCTATTAACCAAGGCTACCAAGGGGATAAGAGTACTGTCATAAAAAAACAAAAAAACAGAACAAAAACCCCATGAATTTCATATTGTTTATGATATTGTTTAAAGCTCAGGTATGTAAGGTTTTTGTTTTTCACACTTCCCCCTCAAAATACAACCACCTAGTACCTGGAAAAACAAGAAGAAAGAGAAAAGACGTGTACATATATACATGAAGAGAGCTTAAGCACTGTACTGCAGTGATAGTATATGTTATTTATTTAGTAATGACGGCGTTTTGGGCACAATTTATAGCTTCTAATCTTTGATTGCACACTAGTCAGTAACTAGTGTAATGCGTCTAGTCCTATCTTCGCTGCAGACTGAATTCTATCAGTCAAGCTTGCAATGTGGCCACCATGCCACTAGGTGGCTCGCCATTACGGTGCACTGTGAATTGTTGGTATTAGATGGTTGGAGGCAATCGGCCACAGGAAGCCTTGCTCGACCTACGTTTCGTGCTAGTTGGCACTCACTCGTCAGCAAGGCGTATCTGCAACCTTGAAGGAACTCATGTCCCTTCTGAGATTCGAACCCGTGTCACCCAGTGCTGCAGTCAGAGACGCTACCACTGAGCTATTCGGGCTCACGATTGACTTCCTGTAGGACTGTAGTGGATATTTTGATTTGACACTAGTAACTAGTGTGATGCGTCTAGTCCTCTCTTTGGGGTAGACTGAATTCTATCAGTCAGGTTGTAATGTAATCTCAGAAGGGACATGAGTTCCTTCAAGGTTGCAGATACGCCTTGCTGATGAGTGCCAACTAGCACGGAACCTAGGTCCAATCTTCCTGCCGATTGCCTCCAACCATCTATAGCTTCTAATCATATCACATTGCTCACACAACCTCTTTTAAAATTTGTTTACCCATTAGTTCCGTTATTATTTTTTTATCCTTTGATTTTATTGGCAGTAATATTCTCTATATCTCCTGTATTAGTAGTGTTGTGTCATTCCTGTTGCACGTCTTAGATGTAGATTTGATGAACACAGATTCAGTAATCCACCTCTCTCATCATCCATCCAAGATTCTGTCTGTCTGTCTGTTTTCGACATAGAACTTTGCACATATGTGCGCCAGTTCAAGTCGCCACAATCCATGTAGCACGCAAAGCAAGAGAAGGAAGTAGAAATGCAAAATATAGACAGTAAACAGAGGTGTGAGACAAAGGAATAGTAATAACGGAGAACAAAACAGTTTAACTGGAAATGATAAGTCACAAGGAGTGGATGCATCTGCGCCACTGAGAACGATTTTGAGCCATGTCGCCAATTGTTTCCAACCATTGGTTTTTACCATCCCGAGGGCCCCAACCAGGAAGTCTACATCTTCCTACGTGGCTTAGATTAACTGTTGTGGATTTCATTGATTGGTGCCATGTTTTGGTTTGACCGCCGCTAGCTCTTTTCCAGCCTGACCCTATATCAGCTAACATTGCCCGTCGAGGAAGGCGATGACTGGGGATGCATACGTAACACATGTCCTAACCATCTCAGTCGATGCAATTTCACAGTCTCGTCGATTGATTTCCCCGCCTTACCTAGCACTCGACGCCTAACCTCAATATTGCTCACCTTATTATTCCACTTCACGCGGGAGATAGAACGCAGACACCTATGATCGAAGACAGCTAGCCAGGCTTTTCATGTCTTCTGCTCTCAATGGCCAGGTTTCACAGCTAGCCATAAAGGAGGACGGAGCGGACTGTTGAGCAGTACACACGCCCTTTAGTCGATAGTCGGATATCGCGTCTACGCCAGAGACGGCGAAAACTGGCGAATGCGAACCTAGCCCTCTGTATTCGTGCTGAAATTTCGTCGGAGATCAACCCGTTGGGGCTGATGGTACTTCCCAAGTAAGTGAAGCGGTCAACGTGTTCTACCACTTCACTTCCTATTTCTAATCTAGGGGTCGATGAAGTCCAATCCTGCAGCATCATCTTACATTTTATAGGGGCGAATCGCATGCCAAACATGCGGAGGTTGTTGCTCAGGGTGTTCAGTAGACTCTGCATTTTGTCAGAGTCCTCGCCTAGAAGGACTATATCGTCCGCATATTCTAAGTCAACGAGATTCTTCCCTGGTAGCAAGTCAATCCCTGAGTCGCTGAAGTGAGTTAGGGTTAAGTCCATTAGTACATCTATGATGAAATTGAATAGGAATGGGGATAATGGGCATCCTTGACGGACGCCACTAGTCGTCACCACTTCAGATGACAACTCGCCATAAGCCCTCACCTGGCTGCATGAGTACGAGTAGAGTGCCTTAATCAGTGCAATGTATTTTCTTGGCATTCCCTTTACAGCCAAGCATTGCCAGAGAACCTCCCGGTCGACGGAATCGAATGCCGCCTTTAGGTCAAGAAATATAATGATTGTCGGACGCCGGTAGGAATGCCTAAGTTCTAGAATCTGTCGAAGGGTGAAGATGTGATCAATACACCCTCTACCTGGCCTAAAACCTGCCTGGTTTTCTCGTGTTTGTGTCTCCCGAGCACCACTTAATCTACGCAGTATTATTGAGCCTAGGATTTTAGATACTATATTAGTCAAGCTAATCCCTCTGTGATTATCACAAGACGACTTGTCCCCCTTCTTGTATATCGGGATGATCAGTGACTTACACCAACCCGATGGGACTTCCTCTGATTCCCAGACGCTGCCTAGAACCTCCGTTAACGCAGACAGTAAACTGTCGCCTCCGTACTTAAATACCTCTGGAGTCAATAAATCAGGTCCCGCTGCTTTGCCTAGCTTCAGATTGGTGACAGCTTTAGTAACCTCGGTTAAGGACGGAGGACCTGTGTCTATCTCCCATTCAGGGAGGTGTTGGATGTCCGGTAGGTTAAGTGTGGCTGTGGGCCAATTAAACTGCTCCTCATAGTGTTCTTTCCAGCGCTCCAGACGTCTATCCTGGGAGCTAATTATGGTGCCATTTTTCTCGGAGATTGTTTCGCTTATCATTTGTTTTTTACCACCTGTTTCCCTGATAAGCCTGAATAGTTGTCTGGTGTTGCCTATCGCCGATGCTTTTTCCATCTCTTTCGCCTTTGTCAACCACCATTGTTTACGGTCCTTGCGGAGACTTTTCGTAAGTTTCCTCTTGTGCAGCTTTCGCTCCTCATTGAATTCGGAGCTCGCCGGAAGATTACTTCCTAGAATTGTATCTCTGTTCCACCCTATTCTATGTTTGCGTGTTAGTGCGTGCACTCCAACTGCTGCAATTTTCTCCAAACCATTGTCTGTTTTCGACATAGAACTTTGCACATATGTGCGCCAGTTCAAGTCGCCACACTCCCTCCTTATAGCACACAAAGCAAGAGAAGAAAGTAGGAGAAATGCATGTTAGAGAGAGACAGTAAACAGAGGTGTGAGACAAAGGAATAGTAATAACGAAGAACAAAACAGTTTCATTGGAAATCATAAGTCAGTCACAAGGAGTGGATGCATCTGCACCAACCATTGAGAACGATGAGTTTGAGCTAGCCATGTCACCAATTGTTTCCAACCATTGGTTTTTGCACCGTCCCGAGGACCCCAACCAGTCAGGAAGTCTACACCTTCCTACGTGGCTAGCTTAGACTAACTGTTGTAGATTTCATTGACTGGTGCCATGTTTTCGTTTGACCACCATGTGCTAGCTCTTTTCCAGCCTGACCCATCCTATATCAGCTAACATTGCCCATTGTCGAGGAAGGCGATGACTGGGGATGCATACGTAACACATGTCCTAACCATCTCAGTCGATGTAATTTCACAACCTCGTCGATTGATTTCCAATTCCTCCTTACCAACTAGCACTTGACCGATGGCCTAACCTCAATATCGCTCACCTTATTATACCACTTCACACGGGAGATAGAATGCAAGCACCTATGATCAAAGAGAGCTATCCGGTCTTTTCATGTCTTCCACTCTCAATGGCCAGGTCTCGCTCACAGCTATAAAGGAGGACGGAGCGGACTGATGAGCAGTACACACGCTCGGTATAATCTCCAAACCATTCATCCTACTGGGATCAATCATTCTACATGAAGCTGAATTTTTATGTCCCGATACACTAACTACCCCCAAAATACTGGTCTGAATTCTGTAGTTGATACCATAGTCACTACAAGGCATTTCGCAGGTTAAATTATTTTGTAAAGTCGAGTCAAGAGAGCCCTTTAGCCTCCGGAACCTGTCCGTGGGTAGGTTGTAGGTAGGTTTCAATGCCATCTTAATTCCCGTTCTATCAGGAATTATAAACACCGTTTCAGATATCCCTTCATTATATGGTATAACTTTAGATGTCTTAATTTCTTTCTTATTTCTGTTATCTTTACCTCATCCATCATCTGTGAAGACAAGTTTAGTTTGACAAACGGAGCAATAACACCAAGTAGTAAATCAAAGAACCTAAGTGATGAAACAAAACAGATAAGAGAAACATTAGCATCTAATAACTCTGTCATTACTTTCATTAAGATAACAAAAGCCTACAAGAAAAAGAAAAACAATAGTGAAACTAGTAAAGAAAACATAACTAAGAGAGAACTTAGGGCGTCTACAGATTTACCATACAGGGAAGGGGCATCTGGAACTCTACGTAAGATTATTAATAGAGCATGCGCATAAGGATGGAATTTAAGCCTACAAACTCATTCAGGTCGAGGCAGTAGATCGGGGATAGTCAGATTATTTGAACATAAGAATCTGCTCAGTGCAAAATGATTGAACATAGAAAGATCGATAGTTTAGAAACAATTCTGCATTCGCAATTCATTCACTAAGATAATCACAAAATATAGCAGGTGGAACAGAGATACACTTATGAAAAGTAATATAGGTAGGTTGGTCACAGAATCTTTCTTTATCGAATCTACACCTAACATGTGCAATAGAAATGATGTAGCATTGATATCAGAGATATGGAAAATATTATTGTTAAAAACCAGTGGATAAGAATTTATGAAACTATTATGAAAAAGAAGTTTATTATTATTATTGTCTCCTTTAATTCCTAGAGGAACATACGGCTTCACCCGTGCGTCTCTATTGCCTTCGGTTCTCTGCTAGAATCTTCACCTGGCTCCAAGTCTGCCCACACACACGTTTCCATCTCCTCTTCACATGACCTCCTTCAAGTCACCACATCCTTGCACTGATGACCAACTCGCCGCCGCTTCCCTTTCAGCCGTGTTCCACTCGAGCAATGGCTTGTCTAGTGATGTCACTCACTTGATGGTTTGTTTCCTCAGAGTATGGCCAGCCAATCCACCTATCTACATTTCTTCCTGCCTATTTGTTTCACAATCGGTTGGTTCCTACTGTGTCGGTTGGTTCGCTCATTGCCAGAGATCCCTCTCTGTTGCTGATCTTTTCTGGCCGGCCGGCCATCTCATCTTGAGTAGTATTGAGCGAAGACAACTAGCTGTTAATGAAGGTCTGTAGTTTGTTTGAGATGCTGTTTATGACGCTCAGTGCAAGTCTCTGATCCGTATAGTACAACAAATATAGTTTACAGTATGGTATACGAAAGACCTCCTCAGAAACATCGAGTTCAAACAAACAAATAAACAAGTATTCTTTATTAATTTTACATCTTACATTAAATATTCCGATTTTGGGTTTTATAGAGATTCGAAATTATCTCGGTGTAGATCTCGCCACAAACCAACATCAGTTACAGAGTCATTCAAAGCAAAAGAGCATTGGACGGTTGTTCTCTCTCCTAGTTTCGGGCTATAACAAAGAGAACCTATGATCTCACCAGGAGTCTAATCCCAAACTTTCATGTGACGAAGCCATCCAGTGTTGGAATACAATAATTCGTGAATTTCAACTTCCATCAAATCACGCATGCCTAACCATCGCCTCTCCCGACGGACGGGCATTACTAGCTGATATAGGTGGTGCAGGTTGGAGGAAAAGAGTAAGTGGTGGCCAAACAAAAACATGGCCTCATCAATCCATGAAATCATTGACAGTTAAACTGAGTCAGTCAGGTAGGGAGGGAGGGAGATGCTGACTTCCGGGTTGGGGCCCGGCCCGCCCTCGGGACTCTAAGAATCAATCAACGGCTGGAGACAGACAGTAGGTGACATGGCTCAAACTCATCGTTGTCAATGGCTGGCTTACGCAGATGTATTCAGTCTCTGTAATCTTTCATATTCCACCATTACTCATTCTGTTTCACTCTTATACTTGTCGAAACTCTATTGATTCTCTTCACTCATCTTCTTGTCTACCTTTGTGTGGTATTTGGAACGTGGCAACTGGCACTGCTGCACTTGGGTGCCAAATTCTATGTTGAATCCAGCCAGCCAACATCAAATCACGACAAACCTCTCCCACTGGCAAATACCAAAGACGAGTACTATAGTAAATACATGACATCAACCACAAAAGCCCAAACGAAATCCAAATATTTACAGTTTCTTATACTTTATGACTTTAATTTGAGAAAGGTGTTATACTTTGCTTTTATTTCATTCACGATCTCATTATCTAAGGTATTTTTTTATTTTCCACTTTTAAGTTGTGTTAAAAATAATTATTCCCAATGTCCTTCTCAGCTGGGATTTTACTGATTTAAAGACAAAAGTTTGCATACTTTGCCAAGTGGTTTTTTAATCTAAATACTAAAACAGAATAGTCCTGGGAATTCAAATCTAACTGACTGTATTTTAATAGTGTTTCGAATTGGACGATTTTTCCTATTGGTTCACTCTTAACATAACTTAGTACTACAGTAAGTTGAAATATGTGTTATAAGGTTTGCAATATTGTTTTACAATTTCCATACACATTATTTAAAAGTAGTAAAACTGTTAAAAAAACAACTAAACAAAATGACATTCTTAGATCCGTTCATGTTCTTAATTCTCTTCTTTAATCCATCACGAAACCCAAATACTCCAGAAATACCAGTCAAACTTCCACAATGTATGTACTTTTGATTAACTCCCACTAATTCTTGAATCCCACTGCAATAAAACTATCTTCCTGGAACGTTAGCATATGCTAACCAAATTCACAGCAGAAGGTATAGTTTGATTTCTCTGTCAAAGGCTGTATTCTGCAGAATACATGGAGTGGCTGCTATATTTTAATTTTATCACAGTTTGGAATGAAAACGTATGAATTTCAGATCAACAGGAAATTATATAGATGGGCGAAATTATGTTTGAAGTTATGGCCTGATTAAACCCCACGTGTTAAAGTTTCTAAAATCATTCTCAGACATTGAGCGAAACAAGAAATAACTGTTATCATGGTCCTGCGAAAAACATAGCTTACCAATCGTTTGACCTTGAGTGTGAAGCAAATTTTAATCTTGGCGCGGCCGAAACAAACATACAATTTCTCATACAGAGGGTATGAACACAAAATCGAATGAATTTTGTGTCTGCAGTATTGTAGAAGCATTCGAAATAAGCATAATGCAGACAAATGTGCTCAAGTAACACACTTTTATTTCTGAAAACATTTTCCAAGAACATTAGACTGCAGGGTTCCTAACTCGACACTGGATACCGACCTTCACTGATTGGGTCGAATTGTTAAGATTAATGTACGAGATTATGTATGCGTGCCAACTGGCACTCTATCGTTCCCTGTTCGTTCGTTCGAGCACCAACCCTGGCTAGTTGAGCAACCATGAGCACTCGACTCTGCCGATCCAATATCCAATATCGTTTTTACGAGCTAGTATAAACCAATTTGATTTCTTTGCGCTCGCCTCTTGATTGTGAAGTAGAGGTTCCTGATCTTTGGTAAACGTCTGTGTAGCTCGTCCCGCCACTCGACTGTCGTAGCTTTGGTTGACTCCAACAGGAGTAGTGCTGGGATTAATTATATGGCGTCTGTAGTATGAAGTGTGTTAAGACTGTTACTACTGTGAATGGAGTTGATCCTTTCACCAGTTAGTCTTTCGGTATCGTCGTCAATGGAAAAGAGATAATAATAATGACTTTGATGAACCAGTTAGATGAGCCCACAGTCGCTATGCATAATTTTAAAAACTTTTTTATAAATACCAGGGTTAGTGTTAGAAGTAGTTTTACGGATAACTTTCACGTGTGTCTCCAGAAAACTTACTTATTCCTTATTTTAGCCTTCAATGATAGTCCAAACCTATGTCTATAGATGAAATCACCTAGATATCTCTATGTCATGCTGCTTCGTGACCCATTCACCACTCTAAAGTGCCCATGAACATAAAGAAGAAGTGACATATCTTCTAGAACAAATTTTCTCCAACTACACGCATGATATCTGTTTGTGTATTCATCAACAGCGACTGCACAACTCCTTCACACATACGGGCTTCTTACAAGCCTATTATCCCAACAGTACTCAAATTTCACCTGCTGATGGAATTTGCAACATAATTTATGTGTTGAATCTATATTTCCTCGTTTTCAGTGCGGGCTCATCCAAAGGCTGGTCATAGTCATTACGCCGGTCTCCCTGGGTTTCCATAGCTCAGAGTTAACTTCCATCCAAAACATGCCCCACTACTCGGTGACGTTTTTCTTCCATCTGCTTAAGAAAGGTCGTAACAGCCGTTGAAACCCTTTGAAATATGTGAGTAAGAGTACGCTGCTATTGAAGAATGTATTTGGATGATTAGAACAATCCGAAATCTGAAAAATACTTTGGATTCTGATGGGTGTAAATAATTTGGCAGTACAGTGATTTAAGCAGTTCAACATAGGTGATTGATGTTGTCAGTATCTCAGATCCCACCACTACTGAACAGTACAGCGTCAAGAAAAGTTTGAACAAGTGAGATATAACAAGGATCTACCGATTTTCCACCCTGAAAATAATGCTGGGAAATTTCTTATTGATCCAAAAGATCAAGCAGAAAAAATGACACATACTCCCCTTCAGCCAAAACCACAACTGGAGTAAAAAGTGAATCAGAGGTCCTAATTCTTCACACAAAATCGACAAAAAGAGACAATTTGACTCTGAAAACATCTGTGTACTGTAAACACTGATGAAATGACTAACTAACCAATCTGTAACACAGCTCGTGTTAGAAGAATATGAAGCATTGGCCGCTTAAATGCAGTGATCTCACGTTTGACTATTTTGTAAAATTCTGCCCTTTTGGTGAAATCGTTCGGAGAGGAGATCAAGAACCTCAGTCAATCTATATATGTCTGCGTCATTCTCAGGAAAACTTACATATTAATTTGAGACAGTCGACACAATCACAGCTGACAGAGTAAATTCGGATATATTTCTCTGTGTCGAAAAGTTTTTCATCTGTTTCTTAAACTATGGCGAGATGTGCACAGTGCTTGGTTGTTAAATAGCTTGATAGTCTGACATGGAAGTTACTTTCGTTACATTTCACCTTGGCATACACGAACATATAAGTTCATATGAAGTGCAATGAAGGAGGGGAGGGTGGCGCATGCTGATTAGCAAATATGGTAGTGGTCACAAATGTGAATTGCTCCGATCCGTAGGACAGCAACATGCATTTCTTGACTGCTTGAGAATTAAACATGAGTTTAGATCATCACCATAACATCAACAAGCCTGCTCAGCTTCTTGTCAAGATGCTAACGCATGGGCCCTACAAAAGTTCATGAGACATCTTACAGATCAGCATGTCCTACAGGTTCTAATCTTTCAAGCCACTTTTCTCCAAAATATCTATACTTCACGATATTCCTTTTATCTAATTACTATTATATTCTATTTTATCTTAACTACCTAGAGATTCAATAAAGCTAAAACTTACTCTTTTCAAGTGTCGTTTTGTAGCGATTTGATTGGTTACAGGATTTCATCATGAGCTGACATTGGTTAGATAACCATTGGAAAACCAGCTGGGAGTACTGGACAGCTTTTTTGTCCTGGTTTGGAACTATTCAATAGTACTCATCCACCTCCATGATTTGAACCCAGGATCTTTCGGTTACAAAAGCAGCGAGCTCGTAGACCATTAAGCCAACAGGACCCGATCAAATGGCTAGTGCATGGATTCTGACTTCTGCCAATTCACAACGTAGCGCGACGACTTCTCAGTGTCTTCTTCGATGAGATACTGCCTCACCTTCAACCTGCTGTGCCCTTCTGGTCACAGCTTCCCGCTAGAAGAAGAAGACATTGCGAAGTGGTCACGCTATGTGGTGAATTGGCAGAAGTTAGAATTCATTGGCTGGTCAGTGGATCGGGTCCCAGTGGCCTAATGGTCTATGAGATAGCTAGCCTTGTAATCAGAAGATCCTGGGTTCGAACCCTGACGGTGGGTGCGTGCTTCCGAAGAGCCCAAAACTAGGATGAAACAGCTGTTCAGTAATCTGTGCCGGTTTTATAATGGTTCTCAAAATGATGTCGGCTGATGATGAAGTCCTCCAACCAACTAAACAAGATCCCTACAAAACCAATACTTAGGAAAGTTAAAATCTACTGGACTCAACGCGAGGAACAAAGTCCGAACCTTCAACTCTAATGTCAAGTCATGACTTGGTGCATCTATCACGAAAATCCTTACCGACCAGATAAGTCAAGCTTTCATCAACAGCTGCCCACTTTGCTGCCTTGATACTAAAGTTAGATGGCCAGTTACACAGGATTACTAACAAGAAACTATGGTAATGAACCAAGAAGGAATTTTCTAACCACTAAATATTCAGAAACAAACACAGATGAATGGATTGGACATATTCTAAGGAAGCCTTTACAATCCTACACTGACTTCAACATCATCATCTATTCATATGAACCGTGATCAAGATTTGACCGGATAGTTGCAAAATAATTGAGCGCTGAGTGAGAAGTAGACATTTATAAATTTATATTTGTAATATCTCAGCGAAATTGAAATGATTAATTCCAACGTTTCCTGTGTTCGGCAATCTGGTCCGAACTTCTTCAGGGAAGTTAATCGAAGTTAACATAACAGAAGTTTATATATAAAAGGAACAACTCATGTTTTTTAAACTTTGTTCAACCATGAGTCATGCAACAGTCATCAACATGTATAATAAATAAATAAATAAAATAGTATGTTTATATATAAAAGTACATCTTTTGTTTTAAATTGTTTGTCCAGTCATGTGAATCAAGAAACAGCTATCAATAGGTATAGTAAACAGAAGAAAACAATTTTAATATGAACTGTGATCAAAATTTATATATAAACATACTATTTTATTTATTTATTTATTATACATGTTGATGACTGTTGCATGACTCATGATTGGACAAAGTTTAAAAACATGAGTTTATCTTAACTACCTACCTAACCCTAGTTGCAATCAGATTATTTATCATATTTGAATAAGGCATTTAGAAGTCAAATTTCGTCAGATGATATCTTCATTTCGTAGTTTCTTTACAACCGCTTTACAACTAACATGGTTCACAATAATAAAATAAAATGCATGACAATTACTGAGTTAAATAAAAAACGCAAAAGTTCATACTAATGACCAATCATATTTAAATAGGTCAAGTAGAGTAATCCATGGTAGGTGAAGGTTGAAGTCTGTTGTTATTTTTGTGCACAAAGTTTAGGATGTGTATGATTAAAAGTGATGGAAGCACTTTGGAGTAATCACATACATCCCAAACTATGTGCACAAAAATAACAACAGACTTCAACCTTCACCTGCCATGGACTACTTGACCTATTTAAATATGATTGGTCATTAGTATGTACTTTTGTTTTATATAGAACTGAGTAATTGGTTACAGGATTTCATCATGAGCTAACATCGGTTAGAGAAGTATTGGAAAAACTGCAAGGAGTATTACCCAACTGTTTCGTCCTAGTTTGGGACTCTTTATCGGTAAGCACCCATCGTCAGGGTTCGAACCCAGAACCTTCTGGTCACAAGGCTAGCGATCTCGTAGACCGTTAAGCCACTCATGATGAAATCCTGTAACCAATCAATCAAATCCCTACAAGCTGATACTTGAACTGAGTAACTGTCATGCATTTTATTTTATTATTGTGAACCATGTTAGTTGTAAAGTGATTGTAAAGAAACTGCGAAATGAAGATATCATCTGGCGAAATTTGACTTCTAAATGCCTTATTCAAATATGATAAATAATCCGATTGTGACTAGGGGGAGTAAAGATTAGTAAGAGGGTAGTGGTGATTTTCTGTTACATAGTTATAGTTATTAATGTTAATCAACACATAAAAGAAGTTGAATAAGCGTGCTACAGTTACGTACCAAGATGAATAGTTTACTCTGTCTGTCTGTCTATTTTCGAAATAGAACTTTGCACATATGTGCGTCAGTTCAAGTCGACACACTCCCTCCTTGTACCACACAAAGCAAGAGAAGAAAGTAGGAGAAA